CGAAAAAGATTCCAGAATCGCTCGCTAAATGACCTAAAGTACTGATCGTTTTCAAAAAACACGTGGGAAAGTGGCTGTGCTGCATCGTTGTGCAGTAATTTGGCATTCTGCGATGAACTAAGAAAAAACCAAAACTGTTTTATCGAGCAAAACATCATTCAAAACAGTTTTGAGAAGCTGGTGCTCAAAAAAATTGGCAATTTCTTGAGACTCTGTTTTGCCGTTCTTAAGAAGCTTGCTAAAGAGATGCTGCTCAAAAGAAACTAATATAAGTTTAATACTACGCGGTCCGCTGCATGGGTGTCACTCAAGAAGCAACCTAACAACGTATTAGAAATGGAACCTACTCTTTGAAAACGAGTCAGACCCTAAAAAAGTGTAAAAGCAGCTGCTAAAAATGAGTGGACCGCTTTTGTACGACGCCCAGCCTTTTCACCTGTGCTGCTTCGATGCAAAATTCAAACACGAATCGACGAGCCAGTAAAAATTATTTATATACTCCACGTTGAAGCCTACCACCTGAAAAAGTTCCCTTAACAGGTCCTAAAGAATTTGCTTAAGCTGCAGCTCAAGAGAATTGAGCGAGCGCAAGGTCGGCCTGATAGCTTTTTGCTGCAGCGTTGTAAACTTCAGAATGGATCCGAAGAGGTATTAAAAAAACCAAGGAAGCTATTATTTATCAAGAACGACGGATTATCCAAGAAACTGGAAACCAAGTTTCTGCTCAAAGGAAAATATTTGAAGCAAGCTACGTCAGGCAAGAGCTGTGTTGCCGCGGGGCAACTTTGATAACGAACCCAAAAAGGTTGGTAAAAGGCGACCGATACCGATTAGCAAGGACCAAGATCTGGCCTCGTCAACGAGTGCTAACGAATCGAATAAAGCCAATTGAGCACGAGGACAGACCGCAAATCCTGTGTCGCGCCGGGCTAAATGCAGTGGAAAAACAAAGACCACCACGACAATGTGCACATGGAAAAAAATTCCTTAAGGATCCAAAGCTCTTTGTGCGCTGTTGCTAAAAATGTATAAGTAGCCAAAGGAACAACCGACAGGAACTTTATTGGCGCGGTTCCAAATTCGGTAGCCACTCAGCTGAATATAAAAGTAATAGAAGATCCATATCCGCAACAACCGAAATCTAAGGAGCACCCAAAGGAGCTGTTGCTAAAAACGGTTGTGGGAAAAAACATAACTTGGCAAGCGCTGTGCTGCGATGGTGCTAAATTGAGCACGAGGTCACGCAGGTATTAGAAAGTTGGCAACACTGTCTTCTGGCTGCGATACCGACATCCAATAACGAAGTCACCTCGCTGCATAAAGCCTTCGGAGGGGCCAGACTGTACTGCGACGATGTAAAATTGCAAGAATCAAGAACTTGTGCCTGGGACTAGTACCAAGATATCACCACAGGAGATGTGGCAAAAAAGGTCAGGGACGTCTGAAAAATGGGAGGTCTCAGCGGAGGCAAAACATGGAATGCGAAAACACCACCGCACACGTATTCAATTTTTGCTAAAGCACCAACGACGGTTTAAATTTGTGAAAAAGCAAAAACAAAAAAAGAGCCGTTTTTCGCCGGAAGCCGAGTCATGCTGCTGTGCTGCACCAGCGATGCATGGAGCCGAAGCCCACCACGCCACAACAGGAAGCCACCTGACGAATAGAGGCGGAAACGACGCTTCGAAAATTTGTCCGAACGGAGCCTCTACAAATGATGGCAAGGGATCACCGTAAAAAACCAATCAAAGTCCGGCTCAGAATCAATTAGGTCAGCCCCCCTGTCGCTCAAAATGCCAGTTTCCACAAGTCTAGGAGCTCTATATTCGCACTGGAGCACGAAATACAGTATAAAATTTGTGAGAAGCAAAAAAAGAACCGAGCCTTTTCCGCGGAAATCCGTCTTTTCGTGTGGCGGAAGCTCACCTCGTTATCGCCGTGCTCAATCAAATGACCGGGTCCAGAAATGAAGCTTCGAAAATTTGTCCAAACAGCACCTCTACGAATGGAGGTAGCAGGTGAACGTTGAAAGTCAGGTTCAGGACACCCTGTCGCTCAAAATGAGAGATCCACAATACCGAAATGCTCCAGGAACACGGGGAGAAAACAACAAACAAGTCTAGGAGTCCCAGATTCCCACTGGAGCACGAACTACGTATAAAATTTGAGGAAAAGCCAAAAAAACTGTGCTGTTTTTCGGATGAAGCCGAGCAATGCTGTTGTGTACCGGGTCTTTCCATGTGGCTGAAGCCCACATGGAAACACCGTCACCCACCAGATGACGAGGTCCAAAAAATGAAACATCGAAACTGTGTCCAAGCAGCACCTCTACGATTGGTGGTAGCAGTTAAACGGGAAGACACCTTGCAAATCACGTCCTATACAGGGTGGCCCGAAAGAGTGGTGACCGCAGCTTGCACACAGAATTTCTCTGTTCCCTTATGGGTTTGGGCAAGGCGGGGTTATGGATTCTGTTTCCTATAGATGTTGGCTAAATTTGAGCATACGCTCAGCGCACAACGCAGTCAAGCTTTTTCATTAGGAATTGAATTCCATAATTCAAAGTCATGGATTTTTTGAAATCGACAAAATCTAAAATAAATTCCTGTGGATGAAAATACTTAACGATGCCTTTTCCATCTCTTTAACGAGCGTGCCTGACGTTTCCGGTGAAGCTCGTGGTGCAGCTATGGCTCAGAACCCTCCAACTTGGTCAAGTGACTGAGGCCCGTTATTAAGGGTTTTGACCAAACCGTTTTTTGCTCGCCAAAAGAGCCATCCTGCAGCCCCAACCCAAATCCGCAGAATTTTTTTGTGTAGCCGGTCTGAAAGGCCAAAGTGTTGACTACTCCCGATTCAATTTTGGTTTCGCTGGGGAAAGTCTTCGTCGAGTTATGAGCCAAATTCGGGCTGAGTGCCTGCGTGCCAGCACCTCCGTTTTCCATCCGCTTCCCCGCCAGTTTTTCCGAATTTGAGGCAAACGAATAAAAAAGTGGTTATACCATGTGGAAGATAATTGTTTAAGGAATATAATGTGCTAAAATGAGCTTTCCTCGATCTATAGTTTTTCAGAAAATCGAAAAAGTTTCGGTCACCACTCTTTCGGGCCACCCTGTAAGGTCTGGGGGAACAATACAGTTGAAAAATTCGGATTAAACCGTACCAAAATCGTTAACGCAACTCACATCCGCCCGCTGCCAAAAATGAAGCAGAAGGAGAAAGCACCTTACAAAAAGCCGAAAAATCGTTGATAAAACTCGCCCATGCAGCCGGAATGTACAATGTCCGGGACGGAAAATTGGAAATGAATTCCCGGCGAAAATTCGAACGCCTTGAGGACCTGAAGATGCATACACAATGATACGAAAGTCCAATCAACTGGCGGAAAGTTCTGTCGAATGACTACTTTGCAGAGCCGGTGAAAATAGATATTTTTCTGTGAAATTTTTGACGAAAATCGACATAAAATCGGACTGTCAGGGTCTAAGGCCGTCTTTGGAAGCTCTTCGTGAGAGCTAATGAGCAATTGCGGCAAAACAAGTCGATTCGGGGTTTTTTCTCATTGTGTCGTCGTGGGCGTCCAGTCTCTAGCGACTCGAGTCTGATTTTCAAGTTATCAGACTACATTCTACGTCATACAACAAGCATATGAGGACAAGATGGAAAATTTTGAGGAGTTACAAAACGTTACCGAGTACTTGATCTTTTGAAATATCGCAGAAAGGGTTCAAAATGGGGCATCGGAACTCGAGAGTCGCCTTGCTTGCCGATTCCTCAAAATTGCACAATTTTTTTGAGAAATTTGAAAACGAGATCACTACATGACTCCCATCAGATCCAGATCAAGGACAAGAATTGAAAAGAAGCCGACCGCATCAAGGCGACAAAAACAGCGACGCCTGAGTTCACTAGAATCAATAAAGCTGCATACGAGATATTGACTAAAAACCTTTGAAGAGATTTTATCGCAAACCTAATGCGTTTTAAATGCAGCTAAACCGCTGAAACATGCCACGCAATGAAAATCCAAGGTAGCGGCAAAGAAGAGTTTGAACAAGAAGTCTCCTTCATCAAAATTGTCACGAGGGCCAATTATGTTTCAGAAACGCGTCATTCTCAAGGTGTTCAAGTGCAACGGCAAATTCCTGAAATGGACATGGACCGAACTGGGAAAAAAGCACCGAACGAAGTCTGTGATTTGAAGTTCTGCGGCACATCTTCAAAAGCAAGTTGCACCAGGAAAATACCGCAATGAATGCGACACTTGGAAAAATCACTACGCCAAGGTGGCGCCAAACAACACCAGGGCAATACGCAACGAAAGTGGCGAGAACAGAAAAGGAAAGGGGCTAGGCTCCAGAAGATATCTGAGATGGAGGCACAGTAGCGTGCCTTGAATTGGTCAGAAGAAGAAGAAGAACAGCGATAACAAAAGAAACTAGCTAGTTTCTGAAGGCGAGACATTGCCTCGTGTACAAAAACGGCTTCTGGCAGTGAACAAACCTGGAAAACGAGCACCAATTTGGATCAACGGATTGGAGAAACCTAAATAATGAAGATCCAAAAAAACGGGGTTCGGCCCCCGGGACCAACAAATACTACATGAATTGAAATTGCGTAATGAAGTGGAAGAAAATAAGCTGACACAGCCCCTTAACCTCGAGTGGAACACCAAACTTGTAAGTGCTAATTCAAGTTTTTAGGTATTTATTTAATAAACAAAAGAAAAAAACACGTTCTGTCAGAATTTTACAAGAAGTGGCTCATAGAAAAAACGTAGAAGAAAAATTGTGGCAAATCGATTTTTGGCAAGAAGGTTTAGGTGCAATTTTTTTAGAGAATGACAAGATTTTCCAAAAAACTTCCGCTATAAAAATATACTATATATAAATTTATAAAATTTGATTTAATGATTATTTTTCAGAAAAGAAGATGCTAGATGGATTTACGAGCATACGGTTGACACAGTGCTGAGCTGATCGCAAAGCTGACGAACGTTGATGGAGGTGGCCGATTTCGTATTTGAAATTGTCAAGGGAATTTTTTACTATTATTTCAGCCAGCTGTAAAACGCGTCGAGCGGAAATTCGTGTTAGCATACCATCCAGACTGGTACTTTTGTTTCAGCTAAAATGATTCTCACCGGAATGTGTTTAGGTGTGGAAAATTCAGCTGTGAACGCTTTGCAAAGGCATCAGTGCTGCATCTGTTTCATCGGTATTTGTTGAATCTCAAAATGCCAAAAGCTTTTCAGGTGGTCTTCTGCGAAATCGTATTGAGATGCTCCGTTGATGAAATGGAAATAGAAACTCGTCGAAGCATGAGTTAGAGGTACAACGTCGAGAAGAAAAGTGTGTTCTCGAAACGCCTTTTTTCGAATAGTCATTCTTTCCAAAACTCATATTTTAGCGGACCACTTTTTTCTAGAATCAAAATTGCGAAAAATACATTGATTTTTTACTGTTGCAGTACATACCCACCCTTTTCATATTTCGACGCAAATCTTTCAACATTTTCGTTTTCGAAAAATGCATGGAAAAAATTATTTTTATAATATTATTTTCGAAAATGTGGAGAAAAGCGGTACGAAAGTAAGCGATTTTAGCGAAAGGCGCTCAATTCCTCTGGATAGCGGGACCCAATTTTTTGCAATTACGGGTGGAAAAATGGGTTCTTTAGGATTTCCGGGGGGGAAAGTATTTCCGGGGGGGGGGAAACCGAATTTTTTCCTGGTTGTCCCGGTTGACCTATTAATCAAATATAAAGTGTTTTCGCATTGTTTTTAATAAATTTTAACTATATGAAAGTCGAAAAACCTTTCAAAAAAGTTAGAAAAATGTTTGAAAAAGTCGAAAATTTAGTCATTTTGGGTCTTTCCCCCCCGCTAATCCTAAAGGTTCTATAAGATTTTTCGATCTAAAATTAAATTTTCAATTAAAATGTGGGTAGTTTTTATGCTCAGGAATAGTTAAAAACCATTTAGAAACGCATGCGCTATTTAGAAAAAAATTTAGGCTCGGGCCGAAAAAATTCGGTTTCCCCCGGAAATCCTAAAGAACCGAAAAATGACTTGAAAATTGTTTTCATAATAAGATCTTTAGAAATTTGCATAGCATTCGTTTGGAAATCAAGCGATTGAACATACAGTTTATTTTTCAGCGGCACAGCGTTTGCAACCAATTCCGAAATGCGCCAAAGGAAGTGTTTAGTTAGAATGATTACTTGTGGCGCGCTGGCATGCCGCATTGGCTGTGCGTTGATAAAGTGGGCGCTTTTTTGAGCCGTCAAAATTTAAGAAGCAAGCCCGAAGCGATTTCGTTAGAATTTAGGATTTCTTTGGGCCATAGACGTATGCCTAAACTTAAAAAAATAAAGCTCAAATCACCATTTATTTGCAGTGACACGCATTCTCCAGCAAGGTGCTCCGACACAAAACGTTGAAAAAATGGAAAATAGAGTCAGTGTCGAACCGAGGTATCCATAGTTATCCATACAGCCATAATTTTTTTTAGTTATACAATTTCTGCCAAAGCGTGCTGAAATGTCACGAAGGAAATGTTTGGTTAGGATCGAAACTGGTGAGGTGGTTGGTGGTGTTGTAGGAGAACGATTTTTAGCGATTCAGTATGTCCCGGTTGTAGAGCTGCATCTTTGCCCAAAAGCCGTAATTTTTCAAGATTTTTGTTATTGTGTGATTAATATTTAACATAGTGCTAGAATTATGTGGGGGGATCGATAGGGGAAACGTAGCTGGGAAAATGTAGCTCTTGCCATACGTCTAAGCAAAAACCTTTACTTGGAGCCTCTTATAGCTGCTGATACCTAGCCGATGGAAGGGATCTAGTTTTTAAAAAATGTTCTGTTATACTGCATCACTTTGCAGAGTTCACGACGAATCTCTACGGCACACGGCCATCGTCGGCTATTCGGATGAGCATATCGAAGCGCAATGAAAGGTCAAGCCGATCTTTGTGTATTTTTGAATAAATTTTTACCTCATTGGCTGAGTGATAGACGAGCGATCATAGATCTATACTTTATCTTCTTCTTATGCTCTATCTTATTTAAGCTGCACCAACATCCCTCCAATATCTCTATTGCTTCGTTCTTTGATTCAAACCCTTCCCGGACGCATAGTATGCCCCACAGGTTATGCCCTGTAGTAAAATCTAGAACTCCTTATCACCGCTCCTTTTTCAGTTATCGTGTTTGCGACCTTTGGAATTCCCTTACCCCACCGTCTCAAGTCTCGTTAAGGTAAAATCATTTAAAAAAACATATGCACAAATTTATCCAATCCGATCTTATCCTATCCCACTATTTTCCCCGATCATCCCTTATTTCTCTCTTATTTCTGCTTTGTTCCCACTCCCCTCTTACCCTCTTTATACTATATTCATTAATATATTATTTTATTTTAATTACGCCGGCGACGCCGGCCATCTTTTTCCTTCTTATTCTTCTTCGAACCCGCTGGGCAGCTTGCAAAAATGCGCCAAGAAATCGATAGACCATGCCAGCCAGCGCTGATGCGTCAGCGTAACAATTCCTGTCCCATACGATCCATTTTCTTTGTTGTCAAATTGTTAAGTGTGTCCCGGGCTATAGAATGTTGGCAATATGAATTTTCTTTCAACGATTAATATATTAGGGATCGCTGATAATAATTTTGAAGCTCAGGCTAATTACTATACTAATCTTGCTCTCACCGGACCTTCCCCTCTCTCGCTTTCTCTCTCTCTCTCTCTCTCTCTCTCTCTCTCTCTCTCTCTCTCTCTCTGATACCCTCACTACCTAAATCGCTCTCGCTCGTACTCTCGCTCACTCTCTCTCTCTCTCTCTCTCTCTCTCTCTCTCTCTCTCTCTCTCTCTCTCTCTCTCTTCAAGCCTTCTTTTCAGGCCATGATCTCGAGCTCGGGCAATTCTACCAAGGACAGACGATTTCATTTTTACATCGCCTCAAAAACCCGAAATTTTGAAAATTTGCAAACAATCCTTCAACCGCTTTCTGGAAGAAACAACCAGTCAAAGTGTCAAAATCAACGATGACAAATCGGCGACAATGGACAATATGCTTCGAAAAGAAAGCCGGCTGCAAATACAAGAAGTGGCAGCCTCACAAGTGCATCAGAAAAATTCGCAGACCACACAAATTTGGCTTTACCCTGAAAGCAATGGAGGATTTTGAAGTATTTCGATGAATGAATCCTCAGAAAATCCCGGGGATACCACCATTCCATGGCCAATGTGATCCCTGTCTTTAGACCTGGAGTCACTGAGCCGGTTCGGCAAAATCGCTTACTGGAACCAAAGAGAGGGGCGAAAAAGCAAAGAGAAATTCCGAAAAAACCCTACATAGTGTTGAACACATGATAGTGTTGTTAAGGCCATATGATCGATTACCAGCAACCAGACAAACGAATTTACATTGATTATTTCAAAATACGACGGGCTCAATGTTAAAGTGAAGCCTACACAGACGTCGGATTTCCGGAATAAGACTGGCTGGCTTGAACAAATAAACGATCGAGCATGGTGTACAAAGTCAAAGCGTCGATGAGAAGCTCTAAACGGTGTACGTGCAAAGTTTTTGCCACGAAAGCCGCCCGACCCAAAAACGGCAAAAATTGAAATAGCGGCTCTCTTATCGGTCTCAGTGGAACCTCAAAGCTTTTCCAAAGGCAAATCTATGGTGAAAACTCGAAACGAACAACGTCGGATTTACCATAGAGTACAGTTAATTCAAATGACACGGGCTCCCGGAAATCGTCCAATTGGCTGAACAAAGTGAATTAGTGTTAAAGTGAACGGACCAAAAAAAGATCAGATTTCCATCATCATACACGGCGGCCTGGACGAAAAAACGTTCAGGATTGTTTCAGAACGATAAATTGATATTTCTAACATTCGCCTGTTTTTACACATGCGCCGATTTCTCGAACGATCTCATAGTGAGATCAAGTTCCAGCTCACTATTTTAGAATCCGTGTGCGCCACCCAGGCTAATTTCGAAGTTTTTAGAAACCAGGAAATCTGCGCTGCAAACCCGCCAAGAAAACAAATGCTAACGGATGGACACGAACAGTCGATTCAAATTGATAGATTCGACTCAAGCAGTTCCACGTATTCGGAAGTGGACGAAGGTCACCAGCTATTTTTATTCATGAGAAGCCTTTAACGATACCAAAAACGGCAATAACGTTTGTCAAAAAATGATAAAAACTCCGCCAATATATTGGCGCTGATCCAAAGCATATTTTTGGACGAATCAATTTGCATGGAATACGGTAAAACCGATTGCTGTTAAAGTGAAGGGACCAAAAAATACAAGATGCCCAACCACACACACGCCAGCCCGTAAGAAAAAGGATCATGCGTGTTTCAGAAGTTAGGTTCGGATTTCGAACATGTCGCCTGGTCATTTCTCGAGCAATATCGTAGTGAGACCATGGCACAATTCATTACGTAGGGTATTCATATTACTTTACTACTTCACCGCCGAAGGCACGTTGCCATGGAATTTCGATTTTTTTTTACAAACAACATAACCACCAAATCAACGCCACTGACCAAAGGATCGGCAACGATGAATGGATAACGTGGATTCGAATGGATTGATTCTATTGACGAAGTCGAAAGGATTCCAAGGATCACGAACAATTTCTGCCTCCCAGAAATTGGCTCGGAAAATCAAAAATGGGAAATCACACCCGGACAACTGCCGCAGAATAGACGCGAGATTTATCGGGGTCGTGACCGAAGGTATAGTCGCGAACCAACCAATTTACATTGATTATGATGGATTTAGATGAGCGCGGGCTCGTGAGGAACCCAGCGAGTACGTCGGGGTTGTCACCATAACTATACTATTCGATTCGCTATCCGAGGTCCTGTACGTACATCCTCCCGTCAATAACGAGCATCCCACCCGCTGAGGTGCAAATTAAATGGAAATCATCGATGAAAATGAGGTGGCATGCCGCAAAAAAAGTATGAGGGAGCAAATTTCGAGTACAACCAGCGTTGGCCCTCCCCACCTCCCTCCAATTTGAATTTCAAATTTAAATGCATAATTTTGCAGAATGCGGTGTCGGGCACACGGACATTAGAAATTTATATATAGTAGATTCCCGGGAACCACTGAGGTCCATCCTGTTTCGAGTAAATCCTTCGAAAATCGTAAACCAACAGAAGCTGTGCGAAAAAAAATTGATGTTGTCCTATTGAAAACATTGACGAAACCGCTGCCGATGGATAGCCGTTATCCAGCCTCCCTAAGCGCTCTGTACAGTAAATTTTGATTTGTATGAAATCAATCATAACCAACCTTGATGGTACTCAAGGTCCACGACAGAAAAGTGAAAAAAATAAGCGTAGCTTCCAGAGCCAACGGAAACCAACGAGGCCTTTCCCCATCCGTGGTACAACGTCAATCAACTGCATAAAAGGTATTGCAGAAAGGCAAGAACCAAGAACAAATGAGAAATTATGGTGGAGAATATATCTTTAATATCCAAAAGATATGCAAGCTTTTAACTTACCAAAGATCAGTAGACTGGTGCTCGCGGAAATAAATATGCACGAAACCACAAACAACCTCTACCTTACTGGAAAACCTCTAGCAAAAACGAACATTCGGCAAATCACGCTTGCTGACTTACTTAATAAACAAGACCGCAAGTAGAGCGACTGTTTTTTTGCACACAGGAAATGGATGAAAGCAGACTTTACAAAGACTCAGAGCCTACTTACTCGGATGGATTTGCAGTAAAAATCAATAATTCAGTCCACTTTGAAGAAATCAAAGCAAATGGTACATTCTGTTCAGAGAAGATACATTGAATACCCCAAGTACGCGGAAGTTCCTAGAATGGATAAAATTCTAAGTAGAGTTAGTGGAAAAAATGTTTTCCATCCAAGGTTAGGAAACTCGCGCAACCCCGTCGGAGCTATAAAGACCTGGCCCCACAGCCCGAAGCTTTACGAAAATTGGAAAATTTGAAAATGGCGTCGAATCTACAGCGTCGAAAAATGCACGACGCATACTATGGATCACAACTTGCCGGGATTTAGAAAAATGTTGCAATGCAAACCAACTGTATATAAGGTTTCGCATGTAATTTCCGGTTTCTACGCAGATATCAGCGAGTCGACCGTTGCCCCAAAGGACGGATTGTTGAACAATCATTCAGAAAAAAAACCAAAAAATGAAAATTTCCGCCTATCTTGGTGTCGAAGCGTTTAAAATTGAAATCGATTTTCTCCACCTTCGGCGGTTTGGACGCTTAGAACCCGAAATTGGGCAATATTTAACGACCAACTGTATAATCGTTTTCCGAGAAATTCACGAATGGAACCGCAAAAAAAATAGAATGGGGAAATAAGCGAAGCCGTGCCATTACTTACAAAGAAACGGTAGATGCTGCGAAAACAATAAAACTGAAGCCGAAACAAGAGCAAATGCGGAGGAGAAACAAATGTGAGATCGACGATTACGCTGCCAATTTGAAGCGGATCCGAAGCATCGGTAATTTTTTTTCAATTTAACCAGGGTTGAAAAGCCGCTTCGCGACTTTTCAACCCTGGCCCCGTCTCGGACCCCATACTATTCTTCCCTTTGCATAATTGTCCTCCATTCAATCAGAAGACAAAAAATTAAAACAACCGTTTCTGCCTCTTTATATAGGCGACCGCCCACTTCCGCTCTATGTTAATTATTCCTAACAAAGATGTTTTTACAAAAACCTAAATTTAATAGCGAAAATGGCTAATTTTTAAAAATCTGATATGTGTGCAGTGAGCCCTAGACCATTACGCACCTAATGACGTATCATACGTAGTCCAATACCCTTCGCTTCTTGAGATATCCTCCGGACAGCCAAAGGAAGTGGATGCAAAGTGGCACACACACACACACACAAACACTATTTTTTTATATCAATTTAATGCGCTGAGTAATGGCATGCGGCATTACAATTGGTTGCCCGGCATTCCGGCATTTCAGGAAAATGATACCTGTGTTCCAGGTTTACGAGTACAGTGCACAAAGCCTTTCCAACGGCCTTCCGAACCTTTGATGGAGGTAGAAAATTTCTGATATTTTTAGGCGAGGTAGGCAACAAAAAAGAGGTAAGGCTGTAGGCTTCGCTAATTGCTAGTGGAAATTTGAAGAGGACCCTCTGTTACCCTGAAAATACAAAGAATTTTTAATCTTTTAGCAATGCACCACTAACGAACAATAAGGAATCCTGCAGAAAAGCGCTCATCATCATGTGCCATCTTGCTCGCCGGTGAGCAACAACCAACTTCCAGCTTTATCCGGATTTTTCAGGTAACCGTCTTCGCGCCACGCAAAACGAACGTAATGGCTGGGCTCCGCAATTAAGAATTGGCAGATGATGACATTAGCGAAGATCGGTTGGCCAATTTTTGACTTGTCCGGCAAGCCCGTTGGAACATGGGGAAAAACCCGGAAAACATCCTGAAGAAAAAAACCTATCAAAAAGCCAGCCTTTCAGCAGTCCACGATTAACGAAAAAAAAATTGTAGCAAAAGCGTCGCTGCGCTCGTCTTATTCGCCGGTGAGCAACAATCAACTTCCAGATTTTATCCTTATTTTTTAGATATGCTTCTTCGCGCCACGCCTAATTATTATCCATCGTATCGTATCGTATTCAATGGCTGAGCTCAAGCGCTGAAAAATTAATTGATGGTGAAATTGATGAATTCGCGGATCGATTTTTGACTTGTCCAGTAAGTTTATTTAAGAATGGAGCCCATCCGGAATTCTAGATTAACCCTAATTTTTAGTAAACCCAAAGCGACAATATTCTACGTCAAAAACCGTGTGCCAGGGCCGGAAGACCTAAGGTTTGACCTCACGGTACATTCCGAACCGATGATTGGGCCGGCCACTCGATAATAAAGGTAATCGCACTGAATGATGAGATAAAAAAATATATATATATAATACAATATATTAATACAATATATAATACAATATATTATATTGTTTTCCAGATTATACTTTTAAAGATGTGATACCACCCCGTTTCCTTACTTCAAGACGCGGCCGTGTTTTGGCTATGGACCTGAGTTGTTGATTAATGATGAAATTATACAGGTAGGCCAGTTAGAGGTGATTTTTTAGACGTTAAATCTGTATATTTTAGTATGGTTGGACGTATTTTTGAACCATCGCTAGATTGCCGATTTGTTTAATGTCCGACCGTAAATTCTTGCCTCCACCGCCCTTTAAAAGACAATTGGGTTCTGGTTCGTTAGCGGGGGCGGGCGCTTACTGCCAGAGATTTTTTACTATTGTATTATTTTTTTTGTGTACAAAATCGTCGCGACCCATTAGAGCACCAAAAATGCGCTAAAAGTTTTGCTTCTAAAAAGTTAGATCAGAAGCAAAAATAACGCCGACCGTAAATTCTTGCCCTCACTGCCCTCTGAAAGACAACTGGGTTCTGGTTCGTTAGCGGGGGCGGGCGCTTACTGTCAGAGATTTTTTACTATTGTATTATTTTTTTGTGTACAAAATCGTCGCGACCCATTAGAGCACCAAAAATGCGCTAAAAGTTTTGCTTCTAAAAAGTTAGATCAGAAGCAAAAATAACGCTAAAAGGGGTTGATAAGCGATTTTTCGGGATTTTCGACATTTTACGGCATTCTGTTACGCTAGTCCTTACAGAACTAAAAAAAAACTAGGATTCTTATATACAGCTCAAAACAATGTATTCCAAAATAAGAGAGGCTATCGACAAAAAATGTCGCCCCCCCCCGCTAACGAACCAGCACCGGAAATTAGATAGCAACAGCAGTGCGCTGGTACAACGCTAAAAGCCGATATCAATTTTCAGCAAAATCGGAACTCTATCCACCGCCTGGCCGACCATTCCGAGCAAATTTATTGTTTGATGGAAAAAGCGAAGCGTATTTATGCTGAATAATAAATGAACGAATTATGTGTATTAACAAGAGACGCGTCATAAAATTGTTCTATCGCTATTCTCAGAATTTGCGCATCCTAGGATCATCTACTGCTTTTATTGGCAGCTATACCTTTCGAAAATTGCAATAAAATTAATACATCTAATTTCGGTGAATTAATAAAATGTAATAAAATATTACGGTGAGGCTTACAACGGTGATTAATAAAATTTTACTCTTCTCTTCCGCCCTTACGGTTCGTCTGCCACGCCATTCCGGAGCTAGCAAAAAATTAGCGCGAAATCGATAGATGCCCTGCCAGCCAGCGTTGATGCGTCAGGGCAACAATTCCCGTCCTGTACGATCCGTTTCCTCGAGTTTTCGTTTCAGCATCTTATTTGTAATTGATTGGCAATGATTCTCCGCAGGACTCCTCCACAACGGATGAGAGGGCCGCCGAACATTTCTTGATTCTTGACTTCCCTGATTATCCATCTCATTCATTTTCAGTCTTGCTCTCACTCTCATCTTTTTCTTGCTCTCTCTCACTCTCTCTCTCTCTCTCTCTCTCTTTCTCTCTCCTCGACTCGCTGATCTTTTATTAAAACTTGCTTTCAGATTACATTTCAAGCTCGGGCGGTTCTATCAAAGGACAGGTGATTTCATTTATGAATCGCCTCAATAATTTGAAGCCAGCTCGCTTAACAGCTAAGGCTATCAAAAATTGCAAACAAACCTCAACTCACCAAACCTATTTGATTTTGGAATTATGAAAAATGAGCCACCCGGATGAAAACATAAATCTTGCCCGGGCTGCTATTTGAGCGACGCGCCGCGGTTACGGATTAGAGCACCACTAGACGGTGTAAAAAACAACCAGGCGCTTGGTGGGCGGATATAGCATACTAATCGAGGTTGAATAAACACTGCTCTTCATCCCTATGAGGGTATTCCAGCCAAACAGCATTAAAAACAGCCCGAAAAAATGCAATAACTATTTAAACCGGTTCCAACTTACAGAAGGTTGAACGTCTTCTTCTTCGAACCAAAAATCACCAGGAGCTGCCAGGAGAATCTCAGAAAAGACTTGGAGGTCTCAATTTAAAAAGCTACCATTGTGGCCTGAAGTACTGGAGAAACGCTCCAAATATAATGAAGAGAATGGCCTTTTCTAAACTTGATGCACGCTACCATTTATGAGACGATGCACCACTGCTAAGCCCAGCAAGGCGGCTTCAGGCTAGGGGCGACGCTGCAGAAGACTCCCAAAGCAGCTGAAGTGATGTGTCGATAAGAAGAAAGCATAGAATTCGTCGATCATCAGCAAAGTACCAATTAATTTCGGAGAAAAACACGGCAAATGATAATGCGGCGCGAGAAATGACGGTAACCAAAAAAAACCCGTAAACCTGCTTCGGCAACATAAACGACACCAAGCGTCCCAAATAAACCAATTTACATGGATGATCACGTAATCGAAACAGCTAGATTAATGCTAAACTGAACGCTCAAAAAGTCTGGGATTCCGATTGAGCCCGGTTAATAAATGCCTTACAGCGCGAATGTTCTATTTCTTGGTTAGACCCTAAAAATCGAAAACGGAACACCAACACCAAAGAAAAAAAGGCATGGCCTGTAAAGCCAGCAGATGCGTCGGGGTCGTGTCCAAAAATAGATTTACGGGCAAACCAATTTACATGGACTATGCGAATATCGAGGGCGTTGGATTGTGGTAAAAATTGCAGCGGAAAAACGCAAAATGCCCGACGCAGGGTTGCTAGTGAAAGGGTTCAAACAATTTGCGCAAGAGATCAGAGTCCTACAAGGACGGAGTTTATATCTGTGAAGATTCCCCAACAATCCTTCACTATTGTCGGGTAAAAATTGATTCTGAGAAACTTGCAGACGGATTGCAAACGAAGCTCAGAACTTTTATAAAAGATAAATTTACGAACAAACTGCGGCAAAAATCGACTTCGAATGGAAAAGAGCCGCAACCGTGCGTTCAAATCGATTGGTTCCATTCCGGGAGCGACAAGAATTGCTCACAACACGAAGTTCACCAATTCTTTCTAACGCTCCGAAAAGCTTAGAAAAAATCGAAAACGCCAAGTTACATCTGAAAAACAGCTTGATGAGACGTCGGCTACATCATCGTTGTAACCAAAAGTAGATTGTTTCTATTTTTTTTACTCGATCACGAAAATCAACTATAATAATTTTCTTGACGCGTCCGTCTGTCCGTCTGTGTGAAGCCGAATTCAACTCGAAGGGGAAAAGAGCTAGAGCTTAGCTCTCTTCGGATTCGGATAGAGCGCCGTCAGAAACCCCCAAACTGATAAAAAAATTATGAAAAAGTTTTAGTTTAAATTATTAAAATTAACTTTGAAAGTTTTTTCCTTAGTAAAAGGGGTGGGGGACGGAGGTTGGGCTGATTTTGGACATAGTGAGCCAGGTCGCGCGCGTTTCGTGGATGAAAATTTTCACGGGGGATTTCATTTCTTTTTTGCTCTCATTCCATCCGGTCGGTCGTTATTTTCGTTTTTTAAGGGGATTTCGGCTAGGGGAGGTATCTGTAGCCATCGGGAAGGTATTTAGGTAGTTTTTGAAGGGATTTCAGCTAGGAGGTATCTTAAGCCATCGGGAAGGTATTTAGGTAGTTTTTTGAAGGGATTTCGGCTAGGGGAGGTATCTCAAGCCATCGGGAAGGTATTTAGGTAGTTTTTGAAGGGGATTTCAGCTAGGGGAGGTATCTCAAGCCATCGGGAAGGTATTTAGGTCGTTTTTGAAGGGGATTTCAGCTAGGGAGGTATCTCAAGCCATCGGGAAGGTATTTAGGTAGTTTTTGAAGGGATTTCAGCAAGGGGAGGTATCTCAAGCTCATCGGGAAGGTATTTAGGTAGTTTTTGAAGGGATTTCAGCTAGGGAGGTATCTCAAGCCATCGGGAAGGTATTTAGGTAGTTTTTGAAGGGATTTCAGCTAGGGGATGTATCTCAAGCCATCGGGAAGGTATTTAGGTAGTTTTTGAAGGGATTTCAGCTAGGGGAGGTATCTTAAGCCATCGGGAAGGTATTTAGGTAGTTTTTGAAGGGGATTTCAGCTAGGAGGTATCTCAAGCCATCGGGAAGGTATTTAGGTAGTTTTTGAAGGGGATTTCAGCTAGGGAGGTATCTTAAGCCATCGGGAAGGTATTTAGGTAGTTTTTGAAGGATTTCAGCTAGGGGAGGTATCTCAAGCCATCGGGAAGGTATTTAGGTAGTTTTTGAAGGGGATTTCAGCTAGGGGAGGTATCTTAAGCCATCGGGAAGGTATTTAGGTAGTTTTTGAAGGGGATTTCAGCTAGGGGAGGTATCTCAAGCCATCGGGAAGGTATTTAGGTAGTTTTTGAAGGGGATTTCAGCCATGGGGGGTATCTGAAGCCATCAGGAAGGTATTTAGGTAGTTTTTGAAGGGGATTTCAGCTAGGGGAGGTATCTGAAGCCATCAGGAAGGTATTTAGGTAGTTTTTGAAAGGGATTTCAGCTAGGGGGCGTATCTAAAGCCTTCGGGAAGGTATTTAGGTAGTTAGTAGAAGTAGGTGGATAGTTAGGTGTATTACATCAAGGGTAACCCGAAGGCCAGATGGTTACAGTCGCGAAGCGACTGGAACCATCTGGTAATAAAAAAGTAGTGGTGTCCGTCTGTGTGTGTGTCTGAAGCCGAATTCAACTCGAAGGGGAAAAGAGCTAGAGCTTAGCTCTCTTCGGATTTGGATAGAGCGTGGTCAGAAACCCCCAAACTGATAAAAAAGTTACGAAAAAGTTTTAGTTTAAATTATTAAAATTAACTTTGAAAGTGGCGCCTTAATAAAACGAGTGGGGGCGCCTCTCCCGGCAGGCCACGCCCCCCTTTCCCTTCGCCCCTCTTCCCCAGGCCCCTTCCCGCGTCCAGATAACTTTTTAAGTTACTTTAATACTTTCTATACTTTTTAATTATGTTAATTTATTATTGAAATCATTTAAAGTATCTAAAGCCATCGGGAAGGTATTTAGGTAGTTTTTGACGGGGATTTCGGCTAGGGGAGGTATCTGAAGCCATCATGATGGTATTTAGGTAGTTTTTGACGGGGATTTCAGCCATGGGGGGTATCTGAAGCCATCGGGAAGGTATTTAGGTAGTTTTTGAAAGGGATTTCAGCCATGGGGGGTATCTGAAGCCATCGGGAAGGTATTTAGGTAGTTTTTGAAGGGGATTTCAGCCATGGGGGGGTATCTGAAGCCATCGGGAAGGTATTTAGGTAGTTTTTGAAGGGGATTTCAGCCATGGGGGGGTATCTGGAGCCATCGGGAAGGTATTTAGGTAGTTTTTGAAGGGGATTCAGCTATCGGGGGTATTAATGGAGGTGGGAAAGGATGTGGTTTAGTGGGACATGTAGGGTAGCCCGAAGGCCAGATGGTTGCAGTCGCGAAGCGACTGTAACCATCTGGTGAAAGATAATCGAAACATGCTTTCTGGTCGATGACAAACAGAATGCGCGAAGCGATGAAAACCAAACGGAAATTATCCATGCAATTCGAACGGATCACGGCAAGAGAAATTAAGAAGCAAAAATTTTCGGACAAACCCCTTCACATGGATTTGGGCTAATTGGTGTTAAAGTGACGTCAGAATACTAATTTGGTGTTAAAGTAACGTCAAAAACGCCAAAAATGGAGGATGCCCCTCATCTATGGTAAGCCCAGGCGATGAAACGTTCCAGCATGCGTCTGAAGATTAAGTTTAGATGTATCACATGTCGCCTGGAAACGATGAAGGCTTGCAAAGATGCCCCATCAAAAACCTCTCGGATTGGCTGCCTGGAGACAGGCGATTTAAATAGCTGAATTCCATGCACGGAGGTCCAGGAAAACCCTGAAAGCCCGGCTGTCACATGCGATTTCTAGTCATGGGAAGCCGTTAGAAAAATCGAAGACGGAAAACAATACCCGGAAATGGACGTTTTGGAACAGTCGAATTACGTAGCGGTGGCGATCAAGATAAGATTTGTCCATACTGGTATCCAATTTTTGATAGAATAAAAACTGGACTATCGAAAAATTGTAACGAAACACATGTGCATTTTGATAACGAACGGCACGCACGCTATTATGCAAATTAAACGAAATCAGCGTTATCGACCTGTCGTTATCGCTAGTCCGATGATAAGCTCAAAAAAGCTATGAAGACGCAACTTTTGGTTTTACTGCCCCGGAAACTGCAGATTCATTTCCCCAGGAATTCGGCAATCGAGAAATTAAAGATATATAACCAAAACCAAGGAAAAATGACACAATGCCTTTCAAAAATCCGTATTTAAATCCAAAGTCTGCGGAAGCTTTATAACGGCAAAAATTGGCCCCTGGGCGGCTATTGCCAGAACCATAAATTTACTTGTTCCATTCCAGATGTCTAAAAATGCGTCTGCCAAGGAAAATCCGTGAACTACTACAGCCGGCCAGAAAACCCTTACAAAAATTTTGAATATAGCCGCCAGGCGTTGTGAGCAGCAAAACTTAATGTGATTGACGAAATGTCGACAACCGTTTTAATTGTGAAAATCCAACCCAAAAAAGTTTGTGCAAGAAGCCCTGCCTCTAAAGCCCTGGAAACCGAAGAGCTCGTCGTAGGATCAAAGTATCTGATCAATGCATTCAATAAAATAAGTTGCAGAAAGCCAAAAGCCAATGACAGCGCGTGTTTTGAAAATATAAATTGAATATTGAAAAGGCGCGTGATTTGGACGGTGATCGCGCAAAAATACTGCTGTTAATGGTGGATGGAATCCTACCGAAATTCATACTGTCGATTTACCGATCTCCAAGTACTCCTCAGGAAGCGAAAACGACGAAATACTACTACTTGTCAGAAAAGTCAAGAAAATGGAAAACATCCGGATGTGGAGTAGCCAATTTTATACCGGTTAAACAAGGCATATACAAACAGTTTCGAAAGAATTCGAGCCGATCTACTCTAAAGAGATTTATTGGCAGCTCATTGAATCCTCTTTGAAAAGGAAGCCCAAAGCAACTGACCGATCCTGTTTCCGAAAAAAATTTAAATTCAAATCCGCGCAAGCTCAGAAGTAGAAATTCAGAAAAATCCTGAAACGTGGAAAACACACAGGACAATGGCAAAACGGTCATTACAGCCCATAGAAATTTCTATTTTCCATTCTACTCAGGGTGATAGAGCAACACCGGAGGGACCGAAAAGCCAAGATCCGTCATTGCAACACGATACGGCCCAGAAAAAAATTGAGAATTAGAACCCGTCCGCGTAGGCCAGGGCGGGAAGCTGCACAAAATTTGTGTTGAATTGGGCGGGGGTATTTTATGCAAATGTGTAATTAACAGCAACGAATCAAGAATATGAAGAAAACCACAAAGCGCAAATCGCTGATATTAAAGATATAACAGCAAAATCAGGAGCGCAGAGTCTTTGAGCAACAAGTACGCGCATACCCGGGTGCACTGCTGTGCGAAGACACGGGCGACCAGGCGAGGAACCTCAAAAAAATTAGGTCGAAAAATTTGCGTTTTAACGCCATGCAAGCAACGAGATGAGAACTATCGAAATTCCCGTCACAGAAGCCCAAAATTCGGGAGAGCAAGAAAAAAGCCGCTCGATGAGGCGGACACCGTCGAGCACTAGGAAAAATGAAAATTAAACCAGAGCTTCTACAACGTGGGAAAAGCCTGCTTAGAAGAGGGCAATCCTAAATGTTAATTTCGGAAAAACACGACTGTCATTGCAGTGTGTCGAAACTTATCTTCTCAACTGACGCTCTGGATCAGGGGGCAACACCGGCTACCTCGCAGGCCACGAACCGATAGGAAACGGCCCGATTCGTCAGGAAAATTGAATATGGGAGAACGGCTCATAATGGAATGCCATAAAAATGAAGCTTATGAAAATGGGAAAAGGCTAGAAGGAAGGCAAGGTATGTCAGCAAATTCGAAAGATGACTCCTCGCCGTTCCTGCCCGCGGCCGACGACCATCCACTGGAAAATGTATTATGGAAGGAGAAGAAGACATCAGAAAACCGGAAAAGAATGCACTGTATATTTAATTTTCCCCTCACACGTGCGCGCCAGTGAGCGAGCCAAATGTGCTGGTCGGCTTCGTCCGCTGCAGAAAATTAATCATCAAGCATACGAGTCGATAACAAAGCATTATAGCACAAGATAGAGTGAGCAGATCAGAAGGAGAATTGTTAAATTCTGTACCGCATATAATTGAAAAACAAGTCTCCAAATCCCAACACGAAAACCTCCTGCTCCAACCTTAGCGCAGAAGAGATGAGCTAAATTGTGCCAACAATTTAGCCTAAGCAGCGAACGTCTATTGGATGCAAACTAAACGAAAACCGGGTGAGTGGATTTTCACGTTTTTTACGCAAAAAGCCAAAAATCAAGGCCAAAAAATCAAGTGCTACAGCAAAAAAAAGCCCAATGTGACTGCCATTCATTAAAATAAATCTAATGAATAGGAAATTCAAATCACTCGATTTTTGGGCCGCCAGAAATTGATGTAGCCTGTTTGGTTGGCCAAGCGAGAAATGGCAAATTTTGAGTTAAAAATTGCTTTCAAAAATAGTAAAAGTGGAGCGAACTGATCAAGATGCCTTTTTCAGAGGTCAGCGACATTCACCTCTCATGGAAGAATTGGACTGGAAAGAAGAACTATTACGTTGCGATCCTTTATGCGGATGACCGATCAAGTAATTTGCTAACCCCAGAAGTTAATGACCACTTTCTAGGTACTGCAGATATTCCAGAAAAAGGATCAAGAAGCTCCACTGCATTTGGCAAAATCTGACGCACAAACTATGGTTAGTCATATGGGCACTTTTTTCAGGACATTACCTTAAAATTATCAATTGTTATTTTAGAGTCACTTCTGATAAAGAAACAAACAGAAACAAATTTCTATTTAAAACATTTATACATAGGCCTCTTGCTGGGAGTAGGCGGCAAAGTGAAAATTTCAGCGAAAGTTTCAATTTCTGGATCGGATATAAGGATGATGGCAATTTATGGACAACCCCATCTGTCAGTGCCGATTTTAATTGAATGGAGTAGGTCTTTGGTTTCTGCGTCCCGCTAGGTAATTTTCGATACGGCCTAAACGACCTAATGATTTGATAAGCTGCATAATGCTTGTTGCTCTCGCTCAGCACTCCATCTTGGGCCCAAAACTAGCCGTTTTAAGATTAAAACGAGCAAAACTCGGAAAGTCAAAGACCATGGCAAAAATAAGCAGCATCGTCGGATGCAGCGTAAAAAGCTCCATCAGGTGAACTATCTCACCGACCAAAGTCGAACTTCGAGCTGGTGGGGTTTGCTTGTTAGCTTTCCAACATCCGAATTTCAGAATGGGCTCTCGAAGGAGAAGGCTCTTGAAGCACCAAACTCGCGACAAAAAGTTCGCCGATTCCGGGTGATTTATGCTTTAATGTCACGCTTCGTAAATCCAGGTAATCCATGTACGTCTTTGAAAACGCGAATTCGATTCTAGGGAAAGGGAACCAAGACTCGATAGAATCAGGCGATTTTTGGCAACGCTATGATATTTTACGAAGTGATTCAAGGAGCGGTTGCGACGCAGGACGACAGCGCAGAAAAGTCGTAATGCCAAACTAAAGCTGAACAAAACACATAAATTTTTACTTGCCCTTTTGTTTTGAAAAAAATGCACTACCAGACAATCCCGCTTCACATATTTTCTTGTTAAAGAACGCGGATAAAAGATTTATTAATAAAGGCTCGCAAAACTCGCTGGGAAAATCAGATGAGAAAATATATACAGTGGATTTGTCGTCAATTTATAATTATAATATTTGCAATTTCAAGTTTTAATTTTACTTAATTTCCACAAAATCACCTAAAATCAAAATCAATGATTTTTTTACGACTAAAATTCGGCTAATATTCTCAATTCGCTAATGTATTTTTTTACGCTTTTGAGGTTTCAGTTCTACTAATCAGCCTCAAAACGGATTAAGTAGAGAAATGCTGCCCAATGGAACGCTTTTCCTCCCTCACCCCTCTCATTCTCTCACAAGCCGTTCGGGAGCTAGCAAAAAGTGGCGAAAAATCAATAGACCGTCCAGCCGGAGTTGCTGCCCCAAAGCAACAATTTTGCGGCAACCGACTTATTCTTCGCCATTATTTTTTCCTTAATTTGCTGCTTTCAAACAAAAGTTTACAACCGAAAGCTTTGGAAATATCACCCGGATATTTTATCGCTTAGTGATCCGCCTAAAAAAAATTTTTTTAGCGAATTTAAAGTTAAAAATTAAATTTAGTGTTTTGCTTTTATTTTTTATTATTAAATGTTTATTATATGAATAATTAATTTATTTATTGGATGAAATTTAGTAGATTAATTTGAAAGTTATATGAATTTGTTGTTCAATCGTTAGGAAGGGAGCACGGCCGAAAATTCGCTAAGGAGGTTTTTCCCTTTGTTCGGTTTACGTCTTTCTTTTTGTTAGATGATTATCACCATCAATGGTTTTGGTATAGTTATCTCTATTCATTAAACTAACTCGTATGACTCCCCTTTTAGATGAACATCCCATGCTTGGGCAATTTTGCCGAAAAACGCTGATTCCATCTATGAATCGTCTAAAAATTCCGTTATAGAAGGCACTTGTTTCACCTGGAAAAATAGGCAATCTGCAGCCGGATAACACCCGAAGAAAATACTGATGCTCAAAGGGAATATGCCCGAAGCAGACCATGCTGTAAAGCGAACCACGCAAATCACCTCTACACAAAAATTAAAATCGAAAAAATCGAAGCGATTGGGAATTAGGTTTGCCCTACGGTTACGATTGCACAGCTATCGAAAGAAGCTTTTCAAGAGCTGATGATAAAATCGGGCACGAGCTCAGGTTCGATCCAACCAAATCACTGGTGCGGGGGCGCCAACTATACCTGAAACTTCACAATCGACAAAATGATCCACGGACAAGGAAATCCGTTGCGTACCATGCTGAAAATTGTCGCCAGTCGAAAGCTTGACTACAAAGCATTCAGAAAAATATAAAACAAAAGTTGTCTTTTTCCGCGGCGATGAATTCTGGGAAATCCAAAAGCGACACTCTGTTATTGTCGCAGAAAGCAAAGCCTAAAAACAAGAAGTGCGAAAGTACTGATTTATTGAAGCCGTGCAGCCACAATAATAGAAATGTGAAACGCAACTAGCCCCAAAACGAAATGGTGCTGCCCGCATGGTGAGGCCCGGTGTAGGAGGCATCAGTCAAGCTCTAAAAAAACTATGCCAAAAGGAGCAACAGTTTTTTGTCAAATAAGCCAAATATCGAAAACCGATGAGAACTGGCTCAAGTATCGGTTTGAATCTGTCGGAAGAATTTTAATTTTGGCGGCATCACACAAACTCTAAAAAATTTGGCAAAAGGAGCCCCAGTTCGTCAAGTTAGCAAGTATCAAAAACCCATGAGAACTCGCTAAAGTATCGAGTTGACTGTCTAAAGAAATTTAACTTTGGTGGCACCGCTCAAGCTCTAAAATCCAAAGTATTCGATGGTCCTCGGGAGGCGCTTCACCTTTGAATATCGCCGGATCTTCGCAAAGATCACGCGAACCCAGATGGGGGTCAGGCCGTAATACCATAAAGGACAGAATCAAAAAGAGTCCCAGGTCGTCAAATGAGCAACTTCAAGCATGCAGGGAAAGCTAATAAGTCAGGTCCAAAGTATCCCAAAATATTGGAAACGTTCAAAAGAAATCAGCTACCAAATAGTAGCAGAACATACCACGAAAAGTTTCGAATTCGCAAAAAATTCGCCCACCACTAAACATCAATCTCATAGGATCGGCATGGAGCGCTTCGATCCTGATTGTTGATCAAGAAGCCAGGAAGTGAAGAGACGTTGACATCAGACCGTGAGTAAAATTTATTACAATTTGGGCAAAAGTCGCTAAACGGGGGGGAAGGAATGACGGGGTGGAAACAAACTTTCCCTTATCTATCTTATCTTAACTTATCTGGTTGTACCTAATCGTGTAGGCCATCGGATGAACCATGGAAAATTATGCGAGAAAATTCAATTTCTGCAAAAACCCTTAATTAACACCACCTTACTTAACAAAAATGCTGAGCGTTTGGACGGTCACCAGGCGGATCCTAGGAGGGGACTGTCTTTTTGGGATTTGCTGTATTTTTTCGAGGTTTTGTGTATGCCATTTGATAGCGCACAAAAAATATCCTAAGTTAGATTTAACTTCGGCCCGAAATAGCCTAATATAAATTAGTTCTTCGAATAACAAAAAAGGAGCTGACGTTTTTCAAGAAACTTTTCATATAGGAAAAGTAGAGAAAAACCCCGGATCGTTAAAAACGAACGTTTTTATTACCCCAAAATTCGCCATGTTCTTCGATTCCTGTCTTTCTGAATTGATAAAAATTAACAAAAGACGCGATCAGCCATTCGATACCAAGAATTTTCAGGACACGTGCACGACACAATCCGGCATCAAAACGAATCGAGCAAATGCTTGAAATTTAAAAATGGACGACCCGGAAGCTCAGGTACGCTTGCTTACAATCTGACATGAAAAACCGTATTTCCTGTAGTAAAGCGGCTCTCTGTAAACACTCCAGAATTTTCCCCAAAAATGAAATCAAAATTAAAAATTAAAAATTGAAAACGTTTCCCTAAAATTACGTCCGTTTTGACTTTCATTTTCCTCGTTTTAAATTAGAGAAAATCAAGTATTAGGAATTATTGTATGGACGCCATAAAAACCCTAAATTCAGATTTAAACAGCAAAAAGAAATCATTTTAAAAATTTCATTTTTGAACTTTAGTCCCTTTTTTAAGCAATTTTATACCAAATTTGACAACGAATGCCAATTAAAAAATTCTAGGCGTTTCCAAAAACCGAGCACCCTTCTGAGAACTCTGCTTCGATCGACGCCAGCGAAGGTACCGAATCCTAACCCTAGCAGGTCCGGTGGGCGATGAATGTAACCCAAACAAGGCAATATTTCTGGAATAAAATAAATGAATTTGGGTTGTGAACAATAAACCTCACATTACACATTACACACCTTGGTTCTTTTAAACCCCATTTTTTCAATCAGGGCAGAGGTTGTATTAGAGGGAGGACTACATTATTTGCCCGGCAACACGAGCAATGGTTTGGGACGCAACGAAAAATGGCGAATTTGCACGGAAAATGGGGCTACGCGATGCTCCAAAACACCCCATTTTGAACCAAACTCTAGTCTAAAACCGGAAACTTGAAGCGTTGGTTCAATCAGGGTTTTAATTCAGTTTTCTTTCTATTTGGTCACATTCGAAAGAGCGCATTTTGTTCTACAAATCCGGAAATCGACTTTTTCAAATTACAATCTAGGTAAAAAGCTATTAGCGTTCAAAGGTTCCCCTCTTGGAATTTTTGGCTGAAAACAGCCCCCCCCCCATTTCATGTCGTAATTGCGTGTCCTGAGATGCCGTGTTTGTCAATGGGACCATCCGGCCAATTTTCACCTGGCGCTCTGTAATACCGTATTCCTTGTGTATATTGTATTCTTATGTATTTAAGCTTTGCACTGAGTTCGTGAGTAGTTGTAATGAGTTTGAACTGCTAGAAATCGCTGTAATTAATATAAAAATTACATAAAAATACCACCAATTTCTGTATTTGCTTTATCAGAAAATGGCACCCGCTACCCTCCTTCCAGGCGGGGAAAAAAAATCGATAACATGGCCGTTGATAAGCCGGGGCTGCCATCCGCTGTTTTCTCGAATACGATCGGCTTATTCTTACCAGTGTTTTTTTGCTGTCATCGAAATCCCTTAAAGTAATGCCATTAATTCCATCAACGCCTACTTGGCGCTTAACAATCGCTCAATTCAGTTAAATCTTAATTTGCGACTTTCGAAATTTCCACGAATTTTTTAAAAACTGGCTTTTAGCTTGCCGCTCAACCCTGGGTGATTCTACCACGATGACGGTTTCGTTCAAGAATCGTCCAACTATGTAAGAGACAAAACACTATTAATATTTCGGCAAACCACTGCATGAACTAATGCTATTCAAATCGCCTATTCAAAACAACTCGAAAAGCTCGGAAAAAGGGCAAAAATCCGGGCAAAAAGGTCGAAGAACCAATAATCTCGATGCCAACTTAGTGTTGCACGATTAACCCTGAAACCGATAATGTTCACCATCGCCCAAATCGGCTCAAAAATTACTGAGAGGCAGACTTTGCGATGCTTGAAAAAGAAGAACTTGCACCATCCCTATCGAAAATCCCTCGAAAGTCACAAGGATCAGTTTTGATAAGTGGAGCAAGGCGCGGCTGCAGTCGTATCAAAAATCCTGCGAGGAGGCCAGAATCTACAGATATGTTCATCGAATCACTGCATTCGGGCTCGCCGAAGCCAAGGTGGGGGGTATCGGGGCCATTCCCAGCAAAAATCAGCGAGCACCAACCAAAGTAGCAACACAAAAGCGTGCCTGAATCGGTACAAAGTGCAAAGCTCGAAGCTCGAGAAAGAGTGATATAGCCAAAGCACCCAGAATCATAGCGATTTTTAGAACCGAGGCCTATAATAAAAAAATTACCAACAAACAGTCGGATCTTTGCTTGATTCAACATGCAGTACTTCGGCCCCAAGTTCTGGCACCAGAGTAAACGCGTTGGAAATTGATATCGATCGGATTGATAAAATGATGGATATATATCCCCTAGCGAACCAAAAAAGCGATAAAAAGTGACAGCTCAAATTGATTCCCGGCCCAAAGGCCTCACTATAGCTGTGAAGAAAAAAGTTTTTCGCAATCCTAACTTAACTACGTCGATTGCCCGGCCTGTAACAAAATACCCTAAAAAGGTCGGACTCTCTCGGGACCATTGCCAGGCCTGATCAAGCAGAAGACTCACGCGCACTGGAAACGCCGTACCAAGGAGCAAGCCGACAAAAAAAATGAGTTAAAAATTTCAAATGCTGCTTAATCGAAGAGAGTGAGAGAGAGAGAGAGAGAGGGAGAGAAAGCACCGCGACGAAGAGGCGTCCGACGGAGAGCACGTTCCAAGATACTAAGAAAAACGTAAGCCTACACACGAAGCTTCCATAAAAAGTACTTTTAGATCCAGAAAAAAAAAGGAAAAAGTGCTCGCCAACCTGGCGTTCCAACACATCTATTTGCTATACCAATGGGCCGATTGTGATGTTGCAATATATGTGACTCGGAACACGTTTGGAAAGATGTCCGGGTAAAGGCCGTGGTATCACAATAGTGTTTTACATGGTTTTTACGCTGGGTGGGACTTTCCAATCACACCGATTTTGAATAGATTTGCAAAGGTTATTATTGTTTTGTGTAACTTTTTAGTATTGCAATATTAACTAACTAACTAACTTGCAAAGTTTTACCTTTTGATTGAAAACTTTACGTTTATTATCGAATGGCGTAGAAACTCCCGAAAAAATAGTGCAAATATCGAAAATTTTTTGCTCAATCGGCTGGGGGGAATAAATTCTATCTTTCACAGAAAGGATTTATGGCTTTTTGCGAAAATAAATCCCTAAAATGCGCTAGTTTTCGAATTTTGTCGTTCCGCAATTTTTTCGCTCTGGAGTCGGTAAAAAAGGCCTGCGCAAGACGGGCGCTGTATCTTTGCAAGTTCCCACCCCTGAGGAAACGCACTTTACCGTTTGATCCAGGAACAATTCGGAACCCGTCCACTCGAAGTTGTGGGCCCACATATCGACACCAAGTCACACTTTACGGTAAGTCCGTGCTACTGTGAAAGGGTGGGGGGCAATTTTTATAAACCCGGAAACGCCTAGTCATTAATGGGAAGTACTTTATTAGTGCTTCTCGTAAAATATAATAGCGATTTCACCTAGAAGACGGTCGAAAATAACTTTGTTCAACATCGGCCGTCTTTGGTTGCAAAACGACATTTTTGCTATTTTTTCATAAAATTTATTGAGTTGCGTTCAGAAATGGTGAAAGCCGCTTAGAAGCATTTCCCATTTTTATATTTAAATTTCAGCCTGAGAAAATGCTAGTGCTCCCCCTGCCCCCAAATGCACAAGAACCGCAAATTTTAATCCAATTTTTAGATATGCAATTCAAGTCGTCGCTTTGGGCAAGAAGGATTAAACCGTGGCAGTAAAATATGTTTTTGCGAGCATGGCCGGAAACCCGCATTTTTATGATAAATTTCGTGTATAAAAATTCGCAGGAATAAAAGAACACAAAAACCATTGTATTTTAAATCTGAAAAACCACAAAGTAAGCTTTGACAAGGACCTTCTGGGCTTTCATAACCTCAGTCGGTATTTTTCGACGTATTTGACATATCCTAATGCGGCGACAATTAAAGCTGAGGTTTTTTATAAGGCTTGCCCTCCCTCTTCCCGTTCGGCAGCTAGCAAAAAACGGCAGAGAAATCGATAAATACCATGCCAGCCATTGTTGATGCATCGTCAGTGCAACATTTCCGAGGCTGTACGATCGGTTTTCTCGAATTCATTGTCTCGACTTTGTGCTTTGAATTTATTGACAAAATGAATCAAATTTTATGTTTTGTCCAACTAATTTAAAAGTTTCTAACTCTAGATAGCCATAACTTTGAAATTTGGCAAATTAAATCTCCATAAAATTATAAAATTTGCTGCAACTTTTTGGGATTTAGTTAATACGATTAATATCTTTGTATATGCTCACCCTGTTTCTCTACTATCCCTCGCTCTCTCTCTCTCTCTCTCTCGCTTCCCGTATTATCTCTCTAAATCTGCTTTTAGATCAGCACCTCAACCCTGGGCAATTCTATCATAAACGGGCGATTTCATTAATGAGTCGCCTAACATATTGAAACCCAACTAAAAGAGGTTTTAACAACATGAAAGTACACAGCAAGTTATTATGAGCAATTTTTGAAACCATCTTGGGCAAACAAAATCAAATTTGCACCGCTAGCCTACGCGGAGAACGGGGCAGAAAAGATCAACAGATTGAATGCCAGCTACCCGTGGAGGTCGACAGGTGCGGATCGAAGAATCTCCGAAATTATGACTCAAGGCTGCCTGACTTCCACAACATGAAAATGTAATTTTGAAGGCATCATGGCATAGAGATGCGGAGCAAGCACCCAGCCGAACTTCGTCATAGGTCATAGCACGACGGTTTGGACCATTTATCGGAATGAAGCAAAATTTCCCCAAGTTTCGGGAAAAGCGCTGCATCGAAAGTGAGGCGTCGATCTCGAGGAGCACGAGCCCGTCACCAAGCCCGCCACTGAGCGAGCGAGAAGGCGGGCAGTTATTGATCATACTTTATGGAAAGAGACAGAAGGTATATGAAAAATTGGAACATGTAAATCACGGCTAGGGGCTACGGATTGGATATGCCAATAATCGGGGCACTGAGAAAAGTCATAAGCCATCATCCGAGTCATCAGTTCAACCTACCGAGCAAGAGCTTTCAGAATTCCAAGGATTATGACATGAATCGGACAAGCTAAATTAAAGCTGAAACTCAGGAGCACCAGAAAAAATGATACTTTAAGTGGTCGCCCGAAAACGAGCTAAGAACCCCATGAGACGGCTTGCGCACCACACCGTGGATGGGCGTAAGCTCTTTGTTTTTTTCGGGCTTGACTAGGCAACACGGCGAACTGATCAGATAAACCATGCGGAAATTTTTCTCATTTATGTGCAAATGGGAGATCGGGATTTCAAAAAAGGTGAAATCATCGCATGGACCCAGGGAACAAACGACGGAGAATGGACAACCAAGAACAGTCTCTCATCATTTATATTGTCGATTCAAAACACTCAAAAAAATCTTGTGAGCATGAAAACCTCGAACCATTTTTGCCGGTCAGATGATGGCTATGAAAATTGAATAAATTGTGTCAAGCCAATGCGCAGAAGGCCGGGAACAAAGTTTTTAAGGCTCGTTTATGTAGCAGAACTGCATTCCAAAGATTATACAAAAGATAAAATCGGCAAAAGAACCCGGTCGCGAAACTGTTGCAAGTGGATCCCAACGAACAGCCAGACAAAATTTGTATTTTCCAAGTCAAGAGCGTCCAAAAATCCTTGGGAACAAAACGCTTCCAATTACTTTATCCAGTCAATGGATGTCATGAATAATTGCAACAAAAAAAAAATCACGTCTATACGACGATCAGGAATTTTGTAACGCATATTTTGGCTTATCGCCGCCTCTAATGAGAGTGAATTCTGCTGAGCCGCTATGCAGAGCCCCGGAAGCCAAATTGGGATGGTCCGCTTTTACAGCAGAACTGGTACCATTCCGAAAAACGATTAAAACGGCAAACTAACCCAACGAATAAACTCATGCCCGTGGATGGCCGCGAAAAGTCTCTAAAAATTCATATTTTCGACAGCGAGAACGCTCACCGATGCTTGTGAGCAGGCAAACCTCGAACCGCTGTTGCCGCTTGGTTGGTGGCAATGAAAATTGAATAAATTTAGTCGAGCCAGTAGCCAGTTCGGCCATACAACTCGCGGAAAAGGCAAAGCCAATCCAAGCTACCGGGGCAGCTTGCCGCAACCCAAGCAAACGTTATGGACGAGGAGAATTGGAGTAAATTCAGCAAGATCTCTACAATCCTTGCTATGTGAAATAGAGAAGCGCGACCGTGAGCCTCTTTCATCGTCATCGCTAGGCGATAGTTAGGCGAACTACAAAGCGGCATGCGAAAACGGAATCGAAATTGAAGGGATTGTTGAATTGGAGAGGCGGTAACAACGGCTAAACAGTTAGTTTTATTCAAGTTATTTGATAGCCAGCTTCGCTAGTTTTCTAGATTCTAGAATTAATTGTTTGAGATTTGATATCACTATCTTCTAGATTTCTAGTAGCTTACTAACAAAACAAGTCCAAACTTATCACCTAGGGGTTTTTTTTTAATTTTTGTTGATGGTTCTCTAGCTTTAGAGTTCGGTTGACGAGAAATCTCTATCGGCGAGGCTAGATGTTCGAGAGTTATTGAAAATACCCAAAGAAAGCATAAGAGGATCAAAATTGATTCGACGTGATCATATTGACGTTTTTTAGAGTTAGCAACGGTGGCGGGCCCCCTAGAAGGTTTGGTGGAAAAAGCGGCGCTCTGTATGGGGATCCGGTAGTTTTAGGTAGCAATCCAGCCATTCAAATTTTGCTGTCATTTTTTAACAAAATGTTCGTCCGTTAACAGCTGCGGATCGCCGCTCCTTGGAATTTTGACAATTTTTAGATACTTTTTGGCTTGCAGGTTTTTGGCCTCGCTAAATAACAAACTAAAATTTTTTCATAAATTTTTTTAGTTGATTTGATCCGCGTCAACGAGCAAATGGATAATTTTCACATTGCCGGCTTGCCGTTGAAGTTTTTCAAACCATTACTTATGCACCTGGAAGCGCACACGACAGTGCGGATTTGGAAGGAAGGAGGTTGCTAATCTCAGATTTTTATTTTTGTTTAGTAAGCTGCGCTTTTATATAATTCAAAAAGGTATTAAAATCATTATTTTAAATTTCTTTTGGCGTTTTTGTAATCGAATAAGAGTGTTAAAGCCGCATAGGTGCTGTTGTAAGCTCCCAGTAAACTTAATAAGATTTATTTTCAGCGGAACCGCACGGTGGCCAACGAGGCGGAGCTAATACTCTCATATGCCTTTCCCGCACTGGGATAAATGATTTTTAGACGAAAATTAAGCATATACACCTCAAAAAGCAGAGAGTAAAATCAAAATACAAGGTCGCTAAAAAACCATAAAAAGGTTTGAATTTATACATTTTCCAGATCGCCTAATTTTTTCTATATTTTTTATGTGCATTTGAACCATTGAAATTTAGCAACGACTCTAGAAGCGAGTTCCTAAGATAAACGTTTGAGAACGGAACGCCTTTCCTCTCTGGTACCTTTCATTCTCTTTCCAGCCGTTCGGCAGCCTGCAAAAAAACGGCCGAAAATCAATACATGCAGCCAGCCAGTGCTGCCACCCCAATGCAACATTTTGTGGCTAATTCTCGTTTCCCTACCGAAATTATCACATCCTTTATTGTTTTTATGCAGAAATTCTGAAAATCAATTAATAGTTCGTTAATTTAATTCGGGGTTTAAAGCTATGTTCTTTTGTTTTATTCGTGTTTTAGAAGGATTCAAATTTTAGAATGTTAAAAATCCGTGTTTTAGAAGAATTTAGAAGAACGGCCCGTTTCGATTTTCGCTTGTAGAATTTTTTTTATTGCCGTTTTTTAGGCAACCCCAAAATGCCATTTTTAAATTTAATATTTTGCAACCGTTTATGGTTACAGGGCCAGAAGATTGGCTTGAAACTTTCGATCCTGCTTTTTCTTTCTTGTAATTATTTTTCTTTACGGTTCCTCGATTCCATATCGATTCATTATCATAATACCATGTTCTACCCACTCTCTTGCCAAAATTTATCGTCATTATTTATCGAAATTTATCAAATTTTTAGGTTCACACCTCAATCCTGGGTAATTTATCCAAAAAAGAGCGATTTCATCAATGCATCGTCTCAAAATTTCGCACGCAAGTGCTATGATAAGCTTGGAAAAATAGACGATCAAAGGAAATATTTGTGAATAATAATAAATGGAAGAAATATAGAAGAAGTTTGGAGAAGCGAACCAAGCAACGCGAAAATCGCATGGCTTGGGAATTAGATTCACCAGATTCATTACTTACGAAGCTTTCGGGAGCTGATGCTCAAATCGAGGACGAGCTTGAGCTTGGGCACCAAACGAAGCATCTGTGCTGAATCATCAGGGCCATCAAAATATCGACCCAGAAGCAGTTGAGCAAATATGAAAACCAGCGGAACGATTGTCAATTCCTGCTAAAGTGCTATGAGAAGAATGAGAAGAAAAATACTCAAGCTCAAAAAATCTGAGTAAAATGAGGGCCCACTCGAAGAAAGGGATGCAGCGAGCTTCTTATAAATAAAATTATAAAGAACAATCGAACCAAGTACGATCGCGAGATTGCCAAAAAATATGGGAATTTTCAGTATTCTACGGATACGCCGTCAACGATTTCAACAGAAATCATGACATGGTGGTCAAAAGGAGCACAAGCTCGAGCGTCCCAACAGCCTAAACAATTATGAAGCCTCATCA